AGGAAAAAAACCAATCACTTCCTTGTCAGAAATGACAAGATACCTTTGCTGATCTGTTCAGTGTTTATGATGGCAGGGCAGTGATAAGTCTGAAAACCCGCACAAAATGGAGAAAGCAGATAGGAGAAGTTAGGAATTTCCTCATGAACTCCCTCAGTTATGTTTCAGAGAAGTGGTGGCATTCCTCCACAAACACCTGGACATAGAACGCTCAACAGTGAAACCAGCCAATCTCACTGCTGTGCGAGTCCTGCCGATACAATGAGCACAGTGCAGTCATACTGCAGGGCAGACATGGCTAGACAAATACAAACACCTGCCAAAACAGTTATGCCATCTGTTCTGGCCTCATTCAGCCTCAATAAGAAAATAAGAATAATACTACTACAGAAAACCAGGTATTTCTTTTTTAGTTTTTTAAACTTGCCTTTGGGTCGTTTGCATCAAAAAGCCCTGTAGACAGTCCAATCAACAATGAACTTTTGCCTTTATTTTTTGCTGGTGATATGGAACGTGAATTAGGCACAAAAGTTTCTTCCAGTGAAGACTGAGCTGACAGAACTGGCGAGGCTGCTGGTACAGCTGTGGGCTGTACTACCCTCTGGAATAATGGTTCACGTTGCAGAGAGTCACTGGAACAAGTTCCTGATGTGGTAAAAGAAAGTCCATTACAGACCTAAATAGATTAAAAACCGCAAGCTCTTAAGCAAAAGGTAACTGAAGTCAGTAAAACTCACTTATTTCTGTTGTACTATTAAAGGGGAAAATACATAGTGCTGTAAAAGTATCAAAATATCTTTGGATTATTTTCGTAAATACATTATAATGTGAAATTCTCTCATTTTAACTTTTGAGAATTTTGTGATTCTGTGGTAACAGCCCTCAGCTATAGCCTGTTCTGTTCTCGCTATCCAGTCCATGCCTGAAATGTCATCCATTTTCATCTGTTGCTTACTGCCTTACACTAGATTTCTTCAAAGCTACCTCAACATAATTAATCTAAACACTGGGGGAAAAAAAAAACCAGTTTGCTTAAGCCACCCATAAATAGATGCAATAGTATCACCAATGATACTTGACAGTATTGCTGATGTATTTTCTCTTCTACTGTAAAATATGCAGACCTTCTGAAGTTATTCAAAGACCTCCAAGAGCAAGCAACTCCTCTATGCAATAAAGATAAAAGACTATCATTAGCAGCTGCTTAAAACATTTTTTTATCCAAGCTGCAGCTCAATATTAATTTGAAATGTCTATAAACAACACTTTTATTAAGTAAATAATCAGATTGCATAGCATTTTAAATAGTCATTTTCAAAGGCTATAACATTCAGAAACCTGACACTCCCTTTTAAGTATCGGTGTGGGTCACTGCCCTGTTCACCTATACAGTGTAGCTTTGTCGTTACACATTTTCTTCCAAAGTGGCAAAAATACCACCCACAATTTGTCTTCCTAATCCATCAGAAATTTGCTTTTTAGAAGTATGAACTAAAAAAGAAAATGAAAGCAGAAAACCTGCTCTTTTAGGATTAGTGAAGAAATGAGAAGGGATGGCTCAAGTACTGCTTACTGCCAGCTACAATAAACAAAACAAGAGACTTTGACTAACCTTCTGGAGCTTCCTTTTGTGGTTGCATCTCGTCAAGCGCTAGTTTCTCAGAAGTTGTCTCATTTCTTCTGTCATGTTGTGCCCTATTATAAAATACCGCATCCCAGGGAAACACCATGTAAAAATAGCCATTAGTCTACCGAAAAAGTCACCAAGTACAGTAAAACTAACATGGCAGACAAGTAATGAAGCTTTAGCTAAGCTTAACGTTTTAACTGATCTATCTAATCTTACTTAGTTAAAGCTAGTTGTTTGAACCAGAGAGAGAGGAATCAGAAGAAGAGAGATACTTACCTATCCTCTTTCTCTTTTACCCACACTTCATTAACAGTGATGGGAAATTCCTTACTCTCCTTACTCTGGTGCTTTTTATCATCTTCTGTTTCTTCCAACATCTCTGCTTCCAAATCATCAGGCTCTAGAATTAATAAAGTCATATACCTCATTAAAAATTAACCCAAAAGAAACAAAAAGACAAGAGAGACTATATGTCTTAAGATTATACTTAAATCCTTCAGCTTTAATAATTTTCTGCATTTTGCAGAAGCAACTGAAGTTTTATACTCCAGAACTAAAAGTTTGTTTCTGATACAAGAAAAGTGTCTTAGAGTTCCAAGGAACTATGCCTTCTAAAAACCTCAGTAACATTCCCCCAGATGTCAGCAGGGTGCTGGTATCATACAGGGGAAAAGAGTCCAGCACAACTGATGGGGAGAAACAAACAAAAAACCTCAACAACAACAAAAAATATGAAACGCTTTAGAATCCCACTTGTATTCTAAAGAGTTTTCTATAAGCACAAAAAAAAGGTTTCTGGAAATTTACAAAATACGTTAGTGAATCAAATTACAACACAGGCATAGAAAGCACTTGGTCCTACCTAAAAGGTGTCAATAAGAAACTGCACATTACTTAAGGGAAGATATTAAAATATTCAGGGTCATTACTTCCCTCATGGAATTGGAAAACAGACTGTAATTACAATTACTAATGAAATTACTTACCATCCAGCATAACAGGTTTGCTCGGCACCTGGGTAAGTCCAGGTCTTTGAGATTCTTTCGGTATAGTCATGTCAGACTCTGTGATACCAACTGGTACTGAAGACTGAGCTCCAACAGTAGGAAAAACTTTCTCTTCCTTCTCCTCTGATGATGACTGATGATCTCCTTCAAGAAGTTCTGCAGTACCTAACACAAAATTATTCTATCATTTGAACAGTGCTTTGACACAGTTTGATAATAAACTGTAATGTGGCTACAAGGTACATTGAGAATCTTTGTTTCTTTAAAAGAAAACAGAATAGAAAAGTCTGCATGCTTTTATTACAATTATTATGAAGGGAAAAGCTAGAAATACGAAAATTTTAATTTTACTTGCTACATTATCATTAATACACGTTTATACTAGGAATAAACGTAACTCCTTTTGTCCTTGGAAAGGGCAAAAAGCAGGAGTTGACCAGAAAAAAAATCCACTGGTATGGTAAGTCATATGCTAATAAGAAGGTTATAAGACCTAGCTAATACAGTATTCAGTTAATGACATCCTCTTAAAAACTAGACTTTTTTCTATCAATAAGCAAAGTCCAAGACTTTTCAACAAAATGAAGATCCTTCCCTTTCAGCAAATCCTTCTTACTTTCTTACCGCTTCACTGAGTTTGAAATGTTTTAGTGTCTTCCAGTATCAGTTTGTGCTGACATTTAGGACGGAGGCAACACTCACAAGTGGAAAGCAAGAGTGAGGATAGAATACGCTTCTATGACTACAAAATTGCTCTTGGTAGACAAACTGGTCGTCTGTTGCAGTGCAGATAATTACCGGCTGTGCTTACCATTTCTTACATCTAGTTCCTCAAGTAAGTCAGTCTGCAGCTGCAACTCTGCTTCTCCTAGGATTTTCAGGACTGAATCAGTAGGGCTTTTGCCCCAGACTTTCCTGTGGGGTTCACCAAGATCTAACCTAATTACTTCCCCCAGAGTTTGACCTGTTGGGACACAAACGTAGAAACTTTTAGAAATTAGAAACTTTTATTCACTTTCTATATAATAAACAAAGAAGCAACCTCCACAAAATTAAAAACTACAAATCCAGAACTCATGTCACCTCACCCCAAGTCAGACAGCCTAAAGCCTGTGCTCAAAAGTCTATAGCTTTTCTTCTGCCAGTGCTATTTAGTAACAGGAGTTATTCAATGCCTGTTAACATCTGCAACTTCATAGCAGCAGGAGATCTTTTCAGCAATTCAGACACTCCAAAAGAAAGCAGTGCGGGAAATGTTTAAAACTGGCATGAGATGGTCTTAACTTTACCTGAAATGGGAAACTAAAAAGTCTCTTGTCCTGCTATACGTTGACATTTGTTTCTGTCATTTCTCCAAGGAAAACAGGGGATATAAAGCAACAAAGAAGAATGGAGCAAAAGAAGTTTCTTGATCTTTTAACATCCTAGTTGTGTAACACTACTATGCTATGAAGTCTGTCACATTCCCAATGATTATTTATTTCTACAATGTTAAGCAGACCCTTAATAAGACACACTGAAACCAGGAAAAAGGTCTTCCACCCAGAAGACCAGAGAAGGCAGATAGAAAATTTGAAGACAGGCTTGATTTAAAAAAAGAAAAAAGCTAAGAAGGGCACAATAGAAGTAACAGACATAAATTGAGAAAACCCTCAGTTTTTATTGTTCTAGTGATAACATAAAAGGATTTTGAATATCTAAGTATAACTTCTGTATATCTTAAGTGCTTTTTATTCCTTCTGTTAAATTAGTGCCTTTTTAAAAGACACAAACAAAGCTCAAAGAAAGTACCCATGCATTTAATTAATTAACTATTTGTTAAAATTAGGAAGTTATTTGTTGAATCTTCTGCAGGCCATTTAGTTACTCAGCCTGTGCCTTATCCTTATCCAAGGGAATACACAACCACCTGCTTTTTTGAGGCAGACGACATGCAACTGGTAACAAGATGATAATAATAAAGAGTACTTGCTTTATAAAAACAGACACTACAGGTGGTAAACTGATTCACTAATATCACAGTGACAAAAAAAGTACTTACGGTCTGTTCCAGAGAGAGAATCTTCCATTGATAACTGAGCTAGAGGAACTATCAATTCAGATGCCCCAGATTCCCATTTTTTGCGATCTCCTAGAAGTGGAAGGTCTCCTTCTTGTTGCTCCTTATCATCTTCAGACCCAGCTGATTCCGAGATATTTTCACACTCCTTTTTTCCTTTCTCATCTTCTTGGGCTTTAAGATTTTGATTTAATCTTCGCAGTATTTCTCGTTTATTCTGAAATAAGGGCCAACATATATCACTTCAAGTAGTACCTTTCTTAAAAGGAAAAGAAAACTAAATGGAACCGAATACAAATCGACATACTTGCATTGCAACATCTGGCTTTTTTTTTTCCTCCTCAGCTTCCTGGATAGCAGTTACACTTTCATCCTTTAAGTCGAAGAAGCATGAAATACAATGTAGAAAAATATGTCAGAAAAAATAAATCTTGAGAACATTAATAGACGTTAATAGTGAAAAATCACCTCTAAAACCTTTTCACTGATAACTGCAGACAGACTGAAACAGAACGTATGATACTTCTGTTTTTCTGGAGATTTCCAAAGACAGAATTTCAAGGGCAGCTTCTGTCTTTGAACTGTTCACTATCTGAAAGTGGTGAGCAAATTAATCAGACTCAGTTTAAGCAGACAACTAAAAGTTCAGAGCACGAAATGTATAAGATAAAGCTAGATATGGCCTCTACAGCAAAATGCCACCAAATTCCAATGCTAGAAATGAGTAATTCTAGAAGAGAATAAAAAAAGTGGTAAGGACAGAGTCAAGGAGGACTTGTAAAGAAAAGCAGAAGGGAGAAGAGACAACTTTAGTGATATGTAAGATAACCAAACTAAAAACTGAAGGCAAAAATGTAGAACTTATAATCTTTGTGTACAAGGCTGGTCTTCTCCAATTCCAATTGCTCTGTGTGCTAATTCTTAGCCCGTTTTAGTCACCGTCTTGCATTACTGTAAGACAAGCTATCCACATGGAAAAAATGTGCTAATGATTTAGAGTATCTGTCAAAACACAATTGGTTTATTTTTCCAGCTATCAACCGACATCTTTCAGTGTACTACATTTTATACACACTATTTAGCACTAAGTTTCACTATATTCCCTATTCTCATAGCCTTCAGGGTTGTACATAGTATATAATCCCACACTACACTGAAATCTAGAAATAGTTTAGGTAAAACCACGGAAGTTAGCATTCCAATTAACACAGATTGTGTTAAAAACTCAAATTGTACAGCGATTCATTTATATGTTCAGTTTCACAATTGTTACTTAAATCAAATGGTGGTAGTTGAGGTAAACATGTAAGCATTTACAGTATCAGGACCCAAGATCACAGAAAACAGAAACTAGGAAGCCTCTAATACTGTTTTAGACAACAAGAACAGATGACACTATCAGATTCAAGTCTCTTAAACTTTATATTCTCTGTTATATTCAGCACATAGTTTCAAACTCACTGAAAACAAGAATTAATATAAAATAGTCCTATCATTCAAAATTTACTTTCTCCCTTCCACCAGGTTACAAACTCCTTAGCTCCCCTCCTCAAGAGGCTAATGAGAATGCTGGTTAGTTGATGTCTTCTTCCACTAATCGTGACTGCCTTGATCAAAACTGAAATTGCAGCCTAGGGTTCATCATAAGCCATTTTATCCAAAACTGACGGCATTTGAGTTTCAGTGTACAGATGTATTTTAACAGCTTCCAAGTTTTGGTTTCTTTTCACATTTTTTCTTTTTTTTTTTTTTTTCCTTTCTCCCCTAATTAGAAGCAACAGGTATCCTTAACGATTTTTTCTACCTAATCTACACATTCTTCTAAAAATTATTTTTCAAATTTTTTTTTTTTCCCATTAATTTTACCCTCTTAGCGAAAGTACCTACCACACCCACTTCCTTCAAAGCAGAAGTCATGGAGATGACTGGTGTACCAGGCTTCACTGGAATTTGTGGCTTAGGAAGAGCTGCTCCGAGCTCTTGTAGTCCATGCACAGGACTGTGTTCTGTAGCTCCCACAGGAAAAGGCACATTAGGATTCTTTACCCCTTTCGCTATCAGCTGCATAGATTCAATTAAAAAAATTTAAATCAACAAATTAACCTGAAGACTTTGCACATTAAACACAGTGTCATCAAATAGGCTCATGTGTTCCTTAGAAAAGGACACCACTACACGTTTTCATACAAAAGACAACTGACTACTGCACACGTGGACGATTGACAGTTTATCAGCTTCACAACATCCTGCTTTTTGTAGCAATACATCACTAGTTGGACTTGCCATTCCACAGCACACATAAGCAAAAGAAGATTAACTACACTTTGGTAAGTTACAGATCATTAATAAAATACTTAAGGTGATCCTAATGATTCTTAGGTTTGATGTTCTTAAATTCTTGAACCAAATTCTTCATTCAAATATACCTAAGATTAAGCTTCTAATGACGGAATACTGACAGACAGATGCTCTCCTCAGTTTCAGAAGACTAATTATCTAAGCCTGAAAAATCACAGTAGAGGATTTTAGTAATACAAAGATACGGCACCACATACTTTGACTGCATGTAACAGATTTACTTTCTTACATGTTCTTCCCAGGCTCTTTTCTCTCTTTCATATGCTTCCTTTCTCTTGCGCTCTAACTGTTCTTTCAGAACTGCAGCTCGAGCATTTGCTTGGGCCTATATTAAACAAACGAGCAAAAAAAGACTAACTTATATTTTTAGTGTACATAGTAATCTTAAAGAGAGTAATGTAAAATTAGCATGTCTACTTAAAATTAGTTTTGAAGCCAAATGTATTAATCACAAAACATTAAATATTCAGTTTAAACTTACTCAACATAAACATAATAAGCTTCAGTTGCTCTTTCACCTCTAGTTTTAACGTTAGGCATAAGTTTAGCTTGTTTTTACATTGCTCTTTGCAGCTGATGGGGAAAAAAAAAATCATAGAATAGAGTAACACTTTCTATGTATTGTATGGTAGAGATAATTATTGATATAAGAACACCACATGGAATAAAGTTCCAATCAAACAGTGGATTTCTGTGAAACACATTTTCTTTAAATGTACTTCATCAGAGGCGTATAGCTCGCCTTCCAATCCACATGCAGCCCATGTCAGCACACGTAAGGAGTTTTGCCTGCCTTTATTCTTTTAACTAAAATAACGTTGTTATTGTTTACAGTACATCTTCCCTTTCCCTTTCAGTATCAAAATGCAATTTTAGTTATACCAAATTGCCTTTAGGACTAAAGCTAACCTAGAGATAAATTTCAGAGGCAGGGACAGGAAAAATCCTTGACTTGCTATGCTATGTCACAACATATTTCAAAATTACTGAGATAAAACAGTTGAACAGTTGTTAGCTCAATACAGTTAAAATAAAAACCTCCTGTAGTGGATGTATGAACAAACTAAGGAAGTTCCGTTTCCTCCCTCCCCACAATTACCTTCTGCACCTCTAACTTTTTGCGTTTCAGTTCTGCTTCCTCGCTTGATTCTTGTCCATCGGAACCGGCAGCTTCATTCTGCAAAGCAAGAGGCCTCAGAGAATTATCATTAATTCACGTATTTAAAAGCTGAGCGATGTGAAGACTCAGATCATTTATACTGAGTGTATGACTAACACGGGCCATAATTTCACTAGGTAACTCCTCACTCAAATGTAATGTCTACTTGGACAGACCTTAATCTTTGAGATTTGTGGGGGTGTGTTCTTTTATTTGTTTGGGTGGAGGCGGGGGCAGCAGTGTTTTGTTTCACGTTTTTTTGGGGGTTTTTTACAAGCCAGGAAGAAAGTAATGTGCTTACTGTTGCAAGGGAAGTGACCTAACAATGCTGGGCTCTCATCTGCTGTTGCATGTTCTGCAGGTGAGGTATACAAGAAAGGTCCTATGCTCCAGAATTCCAGTTTCTTCCACTGTATGTGCTCCAAAGAAGGTGGAATGGGTGAGGGGGGAAATGGTAACAAATAACAATATATAAGGTTCACCTCTGATACCTGTTTTCAATCTCTCTCACTTCTTTCCATGGCCTCTGCATACTCTTACTTACAGAACAGACTGACAGAGCTATGCAAAAAGGCTCCAACAGGAGTTCTTTATTGGTCATGACCAACTTCTGCAGGCCTTTTATTTAGAAGGTCTATTTAGTAGGCTTCTTGCAGTATAAGAAAAAGGGTATTATTAGAAATAATTTGGCTAGACACAAGCAAGAATTTTAGTTAATTTTTAAGTGAAAATAAAAAAAGCTAAGGTCATGTCCACCTTGGCTTCAGTCAGCTAACAAGAAAAAAAAGATGACTGGAAAGAACACTGGAGACAGAAAAACTTCAGAAAAATAATTTGGCACTCTTCATAGGCAAAGGAATGAATACATATATTCATCTACTGTATATAAAAGGGGATACTATGCAGTACAGTATACTATGCGGTAGTGATAGATATAAAATCGTTAATCAATATAAGGAAATAAACATATCTGTGACAAGATTTGGTCTGAGATGGTGTTCCTCTAGAAGTCAGCCTTCATGCTAAGTTTGCATCTGCAGGTCAGCAAGAAAAACAAACTCTTAAACTTGGTCTCTGAATTCTGAAAATTAGTTTAGGCCTACTTCCTGGAAAGATATTAATCTATTCTCTATTCCTTTGTAGGTGGCATACCTTCTGGGGCACACAACACTACCCCAGGTAAGGTACAGTCACTGGGAATGGAATTTACTTTCCTGATATGCCTAATAACGCACACAGAGAATTAATGTCATGGTCATAGTAACAGTAATTTTGTTTGATTTTACTAACATAAGCAGCCTTGGCCTCCAGAGAAAAGGTTTCTGGAGAGTACCTTTACTTCTGCGGTTAACCGTACTGCAGGTAGAGTGTGGGTGCTCCTAATTTTGAGAGGAAGTGTTGCACCTGCTCAGTGAAAAAACTGAAAGACGCGGTGCAGTACAGCAATGGATCTATACTGGTAGCATTTTAGCACTTTTAAGGGTACTCAGGAGACACAGTAAGATTTTGTAGGGGTGTGTATAGAGATGACCAGTCCCACTGCAGCAGTTTTAAGCTGGTTCAAAACAGCAGAGGAAACAGAGTTATGAGTGAAATTAGCACCAAATGCAATTAAGATAGCATGGGCTTATGGTGCATCAGCTTAGCATTTTATGTGAGCCAGTGCTAGGGACAAACTTCATTGACCAGCCTCTACGGTAACTTCATAGACTCACAAGATCTTCATTTCCCTTGTGCTCTTTAAGACAAACTTAGGAGAACGGCCTATGTTGGTCCCATGTCAGACTTAGCCACTAGCACACCTTACACGGTTTGCATAGTCTGCTCAGGTAGGAATATACGTAACTTTTGCCCTGGATCATTCATTTTAGATTTAAAGAGGCATGGATTCCTCTTCAACGCACTGAAGAAGTTTTGCCCCTCAATCAAGGTGAGTTTGGTGGGTTTGCGTCTCACCAGTGAGATACAATCAAGGTTAAGGAAAACAAAGAAAACAACTCAAAAGAAGTCACTAATACAGGAATAAATAGAGTATTTTAGCATTAAAAAAACCCAAACAACCCCAAACCTACGGCAATGTGGAACTGTTTAGCTGGGATGGGAGTCCAAAGAAACTGAGCAGTACTGGGCATGCTTTTGCCTTTTATGTCCACACACTATACCTAAGATGCATGAAAGCACTTAATATGGGTGCTTCAAGGGGGATTGGGCAGGGCAGGAACATTTCTCTAGTTTTAAATCACAAAGCACAAGGTGAATATGTAAGCAGGTCATCACTTTAGGAAACCCAAACACTCCATCAAGACAAACAGACAGGAAGGGGAAGAACAGACAGAAGTACAAAATCACACAGCAGGTAAATGAAAAGATGGAAACAAACTCTGGACCTTATTTACTAGATTGCCTCTTCAGCTAAGCGCTAAACTTAAGTGCTTTAATGGATTGCTTCCAAGGGTGCCTTGGATTATTCATCTGACACCTTAAGAAGTGCTCATTCTGAATCTACTTTATGAACATATTACCCTGGTTTTGTTGTATCGCAAACATATTTTGGAAACGCAATGTTTGAAAAAAAAGTGTATTGATTAAATTGAGCTTATGCCAGGCACTTCTAACTTCAATATGCACCTCCAGAATGTATTAAAAAAATTGCTTCATATGTATTCTGTGGGAGCACCGTCAAAAAGTGAATTCCAGAGAAGTTGCTATAACCAAACAAATATAAATAAGCTAGTGCTCGACGAGAAATTCATGTGTCAAATTCAGATGCCACCTTACATTGTGCTGTTTTTAAAATGTTGTTAGTTTATAGGCACTGAAACTCCACCCCCAGCACTGAAATAACAAAACAGATTTTGCACATTCTGGAAGAAGAGATGGAAGTACACTAACTGTGGAACAGAACTAAATGTCAAAAATATATGTCTACATATAAAACTGCCTATGAGAAAACTCTTCCTGCAGGGATAAAAGAATACATCCTGCAGCCAATTTCCATAAGTATTTAAGACTATTTTTCAAACCAACCTTCTCTCCACGAAGTTTTGCTCTGATCTGTTGACGTTCGTTAAAGTTTTGTAGCCGGATCTGTCTTAATCTTGCCAAATATTCCTAAGGCAAAGAAAGGAAATAGGTTTCAGTCACACTGAAATTGAGTTTACTATGGTTAACTTAAAACACGTAAGGTTCCACAAAAAAAACACCCCACACTATTACTATCACCATATTAGCATTTACTAATCTCCATAAAACCTCTCATTTAATGAAAATAAAGAAAATTGGAATGCATGTTTCTCAGTATTAAGCTATCATTACATCTTACATCACTGACGGCTAGGAATGGTTATATTTATCACAACAGGATTTAGATATACAGAGTCATACCTACGTGTATGCACGTTCAAGAACCTCTCTGAGACAGACTGACCTACACAACTATTATTTTGATTATTTAAAAAAAAAAACCAACTCAAACAACAACAACAAACATAGCCAAACTCTAGAACTTCATACAGCAAATTATTTCCTAGGAATTTATAAAGTCCTTTTATTTTTTTACGCAGATGAACCATGCAGGGAAACTAGGCAAGTCAAGGTCAAAATAGTGCTATTTGTGTGATGAGCAAAGTGGCAAGCATGCGGGAAGCATACCTCTTCCTCCTTGTTTCTGGATTTCCTTCCTCTTGCAGAAATGGGCCTGCCTCCATAGATATCTGCCACGTTTTGCAGTGTACCCTGTTTGCCATTTAATGGTATCAAATTTAAGGTGGCTGGGGTGGTAAAATTATCTGCTTTATCCAATAACTGCTCACGTACAAGAAACTAAATCCATCAACGATCTGCAGTTGTTCTGAAGTTAACCAATAACTCCTTTTTACTTACCCAAAACATGTGACAGTCATAACTAAAAATGCTGAGCAGCCAAAGAGAGAGACTAGAGCTTTAAGAATACAGTTGCCTTCTCCCTGTCATTCTGATCTTCTCCTGCTATGCTAGAAAGCCTAAATTCTGATGGGCACAAGATTTTCTACAGCTGGATTATATATAAATGGTAGCACAAAGTTGGCATTTCTGCCACTGTTCAGCCAAGCGTAAAATAAAAGTGGAATATTTGTACATTCTTAGATTTAAGCTTTTTTCCACAATGATGACCTTTTAAAAATATACAAGTAGCAAACTCAAAAACCTAACAAAATACTCAAATATACACATTACATCTAACGAGCTGTGTTAAATGCCTAATACACATGCATTCACAGCATATAGTCTTGGGTACCATGATGTACTCAGTGTCCTGTCACTAAAAGGACTCAACCTTTAAGGAAGTCCAACACAAAACAGTACGAGAATCATTTAACTCCAGGTTTCCTACTTGGATTAAAATCCAAAATATTTAAATTATTTTGTTCATGATATACCATAAGCCTCTGCTGAAAAGGTTAAACATACCTTGATTTGTTAACTCAACATACAATAAAGACAGTAAACATACACGTGACAGTTACACAGACCTTCTGCCTTATAAAAGACTACAACTTGAGCTTTCTCAGGCTTAGTGTAGAGAATCATCAGTAAATAAATACTCCAGTTAAGTTCTTGATAAGGAGGATTGAATCCAAGTATTTTGGCCAAATGCTCTTCCAGATTGAGCAAAACATCTGTAACTCAAGGAAACAGCACATTTCTGCACTTCTGTGGTTTAGTGAATGGGAGGTCAAAGAACAAATTAAAGGAACCATCCTTTGGATAAGAAGTAGCACACATTCATGAGGACTCCATGAATTCTGGTTTCAGCTTAAGTCATATAAAATGGAAAGGAGTACTTTCTATGTTCACCATTTCAGAAAATATTTGGTTCTATTTAAAAATTTTAATGTTCCTGAGCTTTACAAAAGCCAACTGGCACTATTTAAGTCATCTCATTGTTCTTCATTCTAGCATTCGAGTGAATTTAGGTATTTTCATCAAACTGATGGAGATTTCTATCACTGCTCTTAAACAACAAAGAAACTGGAAGCAAGATTTTTGAGAATTTATTTCTTTCTGTAGATTGTCAACTTTTACTCAACTGCCTGCATTAAAATTTTCAAAGAAAAGGACTCAACATTTTGCAATGTCACACAGCTACAGTGAAGTATCAAATTAGGTCAGCAGTTGCCTTAAAGAAGAGATGACTGCAAGTATCATCAATTCAACTACTGAGTCAAACTTTAGGCTGTCACTTGAAAATTAATATTGACAGCAACTATATTTAACAGAAGCTGGGTAAATTAGTGCAAGTCATTCAACTTAACAAGTCTTTATATGACAGAGAGCTGGGTATTAGTTGATGATTCTTACTGATTTCCCCTGTCAGAACATCATGGCCTGGACAACAGTCCCATCCCTATATGAAGAACTACTGCCAGCTAGTCAAATTATTTTCATGCACAAATAGAAGGAAGCTGCTGAGAACTTCTGCTATCAATGGCAAATGACAGTACATTAATTTGGAGCCCTGGCTTCGAGTTACTAAGACTTAAACATCTGGAAGTTACTTTTACAACTGTTCAGTAACCTCCTTGTTTTATTACGGCAGCCGGTCAAGGATAAAACATTTGGGCTCAGTTGAATACATTAGAGAAACCTGAGAAACATCAACCTGAATACTTGGGTATCCAGCATTAACTGATCCCATACATTTATACTAATGCCAACGAAGTCAAGAACAAAATAGAAGCAGGTACTACTAAGGACTTGTCTAAGAAGAGGCAGTCTTAACAAGAATTGTTCATTTTTTTCAAAATTATTTACTGGTCTTGGAGGTTTTAAAAAATAGAACCATACTTTTAAAGTGGAAGATTCATACTTTAAAACATATATACTAACATAAGAATACTTCACCATCGAAGCAGTGAATCAAAGTATCTAAGAATTGCTTACTGTAAGTGAAATAAGCCCTGAAACAAAGACCTGGCTATAAGTCATGATCTGATATTAGGATATAACTCAGGAGATGCTTCTGTAATCTGCACTTGGTCTCATCTCACTGCAATGCCAGCACGGTCAGTTTGAGTTTCAGCAGCTGATAGTGATATTGTGACTCGGATGTACAGAAATGGTGTGGAGAAGCACTCAAAAAGCAAAACTCTCCAGGTTATGAAAACACATAGTTCAACCACACAAAATCCTAGTGCAAATAAGTAATTTCCAAGATCTCTTTACTGCAAAACAAACTTCCTAAAGCAATACTGAATTTAGAACTGCAAGCATAAAGAACAAAGAACACTTTGTGACACTGTCACACAGAATCACAGAATGTCAGGGGTCCACTAGTTAAAGTCTAAAGAGTAAAGCTTTTAGAAACATCAACCTTGACAGAGATAGATTTCTTTCCAATACCTCCCCAATAAGCAGAATGTGTTTTTGTAAAACACACTACTGTATCTGATCATTAGCTGTATCAGTTTAATCAAATTTAATTTTACGTTTGAGCTACCGAATAACACAACGTACAGTTTAATTTTAACCAAAACTTTAAAGCTATGAACAGAAAAAGTTGCAAATGAATGTTCTAACATTCACAATATCAAGTTAGACACATGCTATGAAAATACTTTCCTTTGTTAATAAAGTCACAAGAACTGTATTGCACAATTTTAATAAAATCAATAACAAAATGCAAAAAACCTACCTCCCATTTTCTTTTTTTTTTTCTTTTAAACAGTGAAGGAAAATATTTAGGCAGCATTTCGTGGTTATGATCCTACTTCAAAGATTCATAAAGCATGCTGAAACAGTAATATACATAGGAAGACCAGATTCCATACCATGTGTCCCTCAGCTCGAGCTTTATTTTCCATGGCTTCTCTCTTTCGTTGCCAGAATTCTTCAACTTGCTTTGCTCTATCTGCAGCTATCCACCCTTTTTGCCTGAGTAATTGTAACACATAGCAAGATGAAAGTTTCTGAAATATGACACTAAAAACCTCCCCCTGCATTTATTCTGTCTAGGACACACACAAAAAAGTAACTTTCTATGAGTAAGGCATCTTCAAAAAAATGCCTTTTATCAGCCAAAATACAAGTCAGACTTCCACAAAATGGAGGAAAATAGGCCCAACTAAGTTAAAAGAACAATTTAAAACAAAAACAAAACCAACAAAAAAAACCCCCACCAAAACCAAAACACCATGTTGTTCTTCCAGATCCTGGTCATCAAAACAAAAATGAATGTCAAAACACAATCTTAGTGCAATCATTTCTGAAAATGTCTCAGCTTGTTTCATTATTGTTATCGTTTGTGAAAACAGAAGACTCTTTCAAGGTTTCCCTTCAGAGATGAGCAAGAACTTGCCACATGAGCCAGTCAGTAAAGTCAATACTGCAGCAGTCTTTCAAGACTGACCTACGTTTGGACTAAAAGCTTCTACTGCTTAGGCAATTAGTTCAGTGCCAGTTTTCTCAGAGTGTTCTGGCAACTCCTTTTGGGAGATCTTGGGGAATTTTTGTTTTTAAAGGGACTGTGAAGGACTTTTTCTACCTTAGAATTAGCCAGAACAAGATGGGGTTTTTTCCACATGTTCCATCCCAGGTCAGGGACCTGCTTGGGCAGACAAGAAGGCTGTGTTCAAGTTACCATAACTGAGCATCTGGCAAGTCTCCTAATACATACGTGCAATCGTTTTGTAAAGGAATCAGTTTCTGATGAATCGGTTAGAAGTGGACTCAGAGGAAGGTTTCTACTAAAAAAACCCAAACAACCAAACAACCTAAAACACTGAGAAATGGTGTAAAATATTCTAACAAATGGCAGAATGATGAGGCAATCCCCTTTCCAAGGTTCTCCTAGCCTTGTTTGACTGAGGAGCATTGGGTGTCCAGCAACAGGCAGGACGAAACTGGAGTAAGCTGATAGCAATAACTCACCAGGCTGAGACAGTTAAAGAAAGAATCATTTTGCAATACAGGAGCTATTGCTAGTAATTAATAAACAAATTAGCACACTAATTAAACATCCTTGCATCCTGTTTCTTCTCCACACACACACCACCCCCACCCCCCCAGCAACAAGGAAATTAAGTATTTCCATATGCTACAATTCATTAAGAGGAAGATGGAGATAAAACTACTTTGATACAACAAAACAAATGCTGTAGCTGCTTTGAAAAGGCAAGACAATCCATGTAGGCGTTGCTGGTAAAGAAACAAACACTTAATAATCTTCGTATACACATATTTGACTCACTACCAAGATTTTTACTGTAACTGTTCATTATGTATGAGCTCAATGTCCAAATCTGTGTCATAGAGCTGAAGCTTAGCTTATAGTGTTGGAGATGTGCTTCCCAAGCAAAAAAAGGCCAAACCTATTTGTCTCAAACCAAATTCACAAGAAAAACTTATTCCAACTAAATTTTATGAAAATGGTTTTCCCTACTGTAAAGCTGAGTGACTCGTTTTGCTGAAACATTTACACTAGATTTCTTCTGGGCTGCATTCTGTCCAAGAGACAATTTTTAAAGATTGTTGATGCTGAATATACCTAGCTTTATGTTAGTTGTGGTGGTGTAATCAGAAAGACTGCAACTTGAGTATTTCTCAACTTCTTTAATAGATGCTCTATATTACCTATCTTTAAGAAAGTTGCAATTATTTAAATTCTTTGTTTGAGTTAAACATCCTGAACACTTATCTTTATATCTCACCTCCAGCTGAAAGAATAAAGTGCAGGAGAGAAATACTGCTAGACTAGCTATGATAATAAAATTGTTTCTAGATAATAAAGTACAAATTTTAAATTTAAATTACCACATTTTAAATGCTAAGAAGCAGCACCTCAACTTAAGACTGGAGGTAATCCAATATATAAATAGAAAAAAAAATTCTCTGCCTATTTTGAAACTTCTGCACAGTATTTTCATTGAGTGCTTCCAAGTTCATGTATTTGAGAACTACTGAACCAGTTTCTCTTCATGCTCTCCACGTTATTCATGATTTTCAGCCTTCTATATAATTCTTCTCAATTTTAACACATTTATAACAGTTTCCCAGGCGTAGCCAAGTATCATTTAACATTGTCAAATGTGTGAGGCAATGCTTCCTAATCTAGGCAAGCTTTAGGGTCTGTGGCCCTTTGTGCAAAGCCCCGAGAATAAATAGGAGAGGATGGAAATACGCATCTACAGCAGCTGGAAAAATACACCTTCTAGTACTCGGTTGTACCAGGAGATATTTTAACCAGCCCACAACAGCCCAAATTACTATAAAGAAAATAAAATACACCTTGTAGCTTTCAAAATTGTAATACCAGTGTTAAACGTGTTATGTTATTACTGCAAATTTTAAAATAGAAAAAAATCTACAAAGGCAAAATATATTCTATTAAAAGATAGCACTGAATAAAATTAGTTTAGAAGAATAAATGTTTTCTTTGGCCACTTCATTTTCCTCACATTAACTCCATTTATTTCTTCCTCCATGGGATACATCATTGGATCTGCAGAAGTTTAGATAATGCATGAGAAAATTTGTCCCTCTAGGAAAGTTAGTTAGAAATGCTCATATACAAAATGCCTGGAAAAAAGATATTTTCCCATTTACGGCTCACAAGCGTGGACACAGTTCTTTGGGCAATAGTAACAGATTTGAACGAGAGCAAAGAAGTTTTGAAGAAGCTACCTGAAAGAGTGAAATCATTAAAAAAAAAAAATCATTACTTGTTTATAATCCTTTTATATATAAAATACTCAGTTTATAGTAATTGAAAAAGAATAAGCATCACTGAATTAGAAGCTGCACATCATTGTAACACCTGGCATTCTCATCACGACAAAGAAAGCTTCTGGAAGTTTTCCTGTTTTCAATAAACAGGAGCAAACAATTCTGGGAGCATTCCAGACACTCTCCTATGCTAGAAAGTCAAACACTTAAATGTAGAGAAGGCAGTCAGAGTGAGATGACAGGAGAAGAAAACTTCTTGGCAGGTAACACAAAAAGTGGAACTATGAAAAAAGCAAAGGAGAAGGCTTATAATGTTACCTGCCACTGCCTTAAGCCAAGAATTTTGGCTGAAATCTAGTTTAGCTACAGTTGTTAGTAATACATTTTTTCCACTACTGGGGAAGCCAAGGTTTCCATTGGTTCTAAAAGAATTGTGGTCTGTGAGGGACTAACACACAGACAGACGGCACATTACCAATGGATAAAAGCGATTTTGAGGGATGTTCAACTACTACATGAAACAAGACACAGAACAAGAATCTAACATGTAGGGACAGATTTATGGATTATCATAGTCCAACCTGTTTGCATTGGCTTGTTTAGACACTTCCTTCAATCTTTTCATTTTTTTCCTAACTGCACCAGCATCAGGCAAATGGTGATGACCTGCAGGCCCCTTAGGAACTCCTGGACGTATTCCAGGTGAAATTCCTCTGTAGATAAATATGTACAGTAACTTTCATTACTTTCATCTAAAGCAGACCACATGCAACTTCTAACGGAAGGTAGCCATACCTTTCAACAACTTCTCGGCCTTGTACTTTTGCCCTCACTTTGGCTTCCCTCTCTTCAGCTACTCTAATGTTTTCCTTTTGCTGTTGCATCTGGTCAAAAATGGCATGATAGTGTTCGTACTGTCCTCTGGAAGACACAGGAAAAGGACCACCACCACCTCCACCGCCATAATATGGTGCCTGGAAATCAGAAGGGGTAGGGCGGAAATCTCAAATACTGTTTTTTAACAAGCCCTTCCAATTTTCACCTCTTCAGCAGAATAAATGCATTAATATGTCCTGCAACAATTCTGAATTGGTCCTAGTTTTATTCCTGGCATGCACCTAGTTTAACGAACTACAAGATAGATAAATTAAAACCTTATTTTTCTATTAGCACTCCAGAATAACAGTATTTTACCTCCCTCTGATAATAGTCTAGCTATACATGAGACATCTGTCACACATTTTGGAAGTTATTGGTAACAAATCCATTGAAGTGCAATTGAAGACAGGTGTTCTACATGGCAAAAAAAATCAAAGTTTTAGCACAAAAGCTAAAAGTGATTCAGTACTAACTGAAGTACTAATGCACAATTTGTAGACAAATATCCATTTTTTTCATGAAGATGGAAACAGTTAAGCACACTTCTAAGGTTGCTGAATGGTATTAAGTGCAGATTTATCTAAGAATTCCTATTGTTACCAACCTACAAATTGGTTTCATCACCAGAATTGAGACGCTCCCCTACTAAAGCTCAAATCAGGGCAACATCTACCACAAGCTACTACTTTATGGGAATTAGCTCAGTTATTCTCGAAGAATTAGAATTCCTACAGAACCTTCATGTGAAAATAATAATTAAAAAAATGTTGCAAGCAGCTGTGTACAGTAGTAGCCAAGGATGGATGCAGAAAATGCGAAATTGGCAAAATAAGGTTAAGGTTGTCAGCACATGCATAAAAATGTTCCCTTTACATCTGGGGAAGCAGTCAAATATCTTATGGTAGTGCATCTATGGAATTTGTTTTAACAATAACATCAATGTTCCTTCCAGACTGGTCTTACATACTTTAAACAAATTAAAATACGTGAGTGCAGATGTGACAGGTTTAAAATTGCCTACTTAGAAGTTCTTGAAATTATATTTGACAATGTAGTTTAGCTCACATTCTGAGCTTCAGCTGCTCAACTCCCATCAACAGCTCCCCGTAATTCATATGATAGAATATTAACTGAAAGATCTATCCAGGCATTCAAATAAATATACAGGTATGCTGTTCATGTGAATAAAAATAACTTGCCATACAAGACTATAGTTTCTATAAATAGAAGGAAAAGTCTTGCTTTAGACACTATTCAAGATTTCACCTATCGTTGTTAGAGCTCAGTTTTCAAAAGGATTATCTAAAGAAATAGTATGATCAATTTCTAGGCAGATGCTATGAAGCAGCTGCTCATCAACAGTCTGCAGAACAGTTACAGCCCCTGCTAGAACCACAAACCCAAAGCCAAATCCTTGCCACCTCTTTCCGTACTTTCCCCCAGAAACAGATGTCAGCAACCAACCCAAAAAGACTACAGGAGGAGAAAATCATGGGGTGCATGACCCTGCTGTGCCTTCTTAAGAGGCTGTATGGCTTCCTTTATAGGAAAACGAACAATGCTATTTGACAGCATTGTCAGGGAGTTGCTGGACACACTGTTTTAATGTTCAACAAGGGAAAAGGGTAATTAAATCAAGAATACTCTAACAGTATATGGAAACTTGGAGTGATGATAACCTAGCAGCCTGCAGTTAAGATTTGCGCTAAACTATCCAATTTGGAGAAGACATTTCAATGAATTTTAAAGCATGTGTACCATGACATTTTACACCAGTGACACTTAGTGAAAATATACACAGCCACTGAACCCGTTTCCCTAGATGACTGAGAATACTCATGGCAATGCAGCTGTAGCTACAACAGAACACTTTATAGGTTTGCAGCGTCTAAGGACCTTGGAGCAAAACTCTCCAAGTTAATCAGAAACATGACTGTTTTCAGGAACATAAGTAGCACTCATCCAAACGTGACGACACTGATATGTTGTCTTGTATGGAAGCTTGTATTGATGCCTGCCAGTTTCACCTTGAGAAAGAGAGAGGACAGCATAGAAACCAAATTATTTTGTTTGATTTTTTTTTCATTAAATCAGTACCTGTCAGTCTTTAAAGTCTGATATGCTTAAGTTTGCTTTTATATTTAAGCTTTACTTACATGGTGTGTGGCACACCTCCAAAGACAACATCTATTTTGAAATAATACACTTAATAAGCAGCTACTGAAGCCTGGTCAAGTGCTTGTGTATTCCTTGTGTTCTTGTACAAGGAACAGAAAATAAAACCTCTATTCATTTTGACCCTACTGCTCAGTCAGAGTTTTTTTACAAAAACCCAACTAAACATGTTTAGGCTAAGTATTTTTGTAAGACTCACTACCATCACAACAAATAGCTGTGTTTTAGACATTTGCTATTGTCAGACAGATTTACATCACACCAATACTTAAATTCTTGCACTGGCTCTGTCTGATGAAAGTACACAAACCTTTACATTCACCTAACTTCATGAGACTACTTTCCCGAACAGTTATGGTTTTTTTCATGAAACTATGCAACACAAAACCAGGCAAAAATAGATTTTCATAGGAATCAGATTAAACTATGTAATTAAATTTTGTAAGAAGTGAATGGCTAAAGAGTTTACAGCTTTCAGAAAAAAACTAATTAGATTTACTCAGGATCTTTTACCCACCTCCTTAACAACTTATCAATATATACAAACATTTATGTTGCTAAATAACAAAGAATGCTTAGAAGCAGGTGTTTAATACTGGGGAAGAGGTCCATTATCATATTACGAGAACCCGGAAAAAGATTTCAACAAAAAAATTCAAGAACAAACTTGAATGTGAAAGAAGCTGTTCATGCATAGATTCGGCACAGAAGAAACAGCAAAACCAGGAGTGGAAAAAAGAAAGTGGTGCATGAAAACCATTACTGGCAGAAAGAGAAGAGATTTAGAAATTCAGTAAATATTAAAAATTAAAATTGCACATGATCTCCAAAAAGCCAGTAAAGAGAGTCTGTTATACAGTTTCTCTTAAATTAATAATGGGCAGTCCTAAGAGTTGACCTCCAAGAGCAGATCTTTCGAAAAGAGAAGACCATGCCAGATAACCAAAGGTGGGGAGAACAGACTACACCACATTTCTGCATCTGCTGCCAACCTTAACATCACCACATCCACCTGAACCAAGCACATTCCTCCATCCTTGTTCCCTGGCTCTGTTTATTCGTTCCATCTGAAGGAGAAAACAATACAGGAAAACATAATTCAAGGAATCTCTAAGTAAAAATTGAACTTCACTATTAACACATTTTAAACATATTTTACCCTTTCTTTTTCCAATCTTCTCATTTCATCTGCCTTCAGTAAACTGATCTGCAATGTGCAAGGATTAAACACGTTTAGTAACTGGGAAATTGAACTGCTCCATAATCTTAAGCAGCATAAAACACACCACACCTCAAGATATTTAATTAAAATTACTATGGGTGGAAACAGAAAGTCTCAAGAATCTTGTCTACCTGATCTCTCTGGCGTTTTTCTTTTTCAGGCAATTCTAACCTTTTCTTTTTTGAAGGTTCCTGAAAAATAAGCATATAATTTGGTATTTATTACTGAGCCATTATTCTGTCAAGTCTCTCTCAAGATAGGTTAAGTGCTCCAATTGCTGGTGTATGTCCACAAAGATTAAAAGAAAAATTTTAAAAAAATTCACTGTTACATAGTGTTTGGGAAAAGAGATAAGGAGGAAAGGTTTGAAGGTTTTATTTTGTCATTCTTGCTCTGGACTTAGCTTTTGCTTATTTTGAAAATTAACAGATGATTTAATGATACCTCAAACATTTTCCTCCTTTCTTCTCCTGGATTCATTTTCTTCATTGGACTTGGAAAGGCCTGGATAAAAGGTGAAACTTCAAATTAGACAGCACAATGCCAGAATGAGAAAAAATTCTAATTTAAAAAAGAAATAAATCTTAAACTCACAACTTAGTATGTGCAAAATAGGGCTTAAAATAATTACTCAGGAGGTTTTAAATGAAAAACACTGCTAGGACCTAGGTGTAAATGCTACGGTACTTGTTCATCCTCTACTCAAAGCTCTGTCTTGAAAGCTGAAGGCAGTAATTTTTAAATCTGTTTTGTCTTAATTTTTCTTCTCTGGCAGTATTATTCTGCATTACAATATTTTCCTATTATAAGTCTTTGAGGGTCCCTAGATATTAAGATTCTCTTTTATTTGGAGAACAGATTTATTAGGTTATCTTTAGGCTCTTCCGCTTGGGTAACTCTAACCAAGGTGTTCCCCGAGGAAGGGGAGAACGCAGCCACTACTGAATAACTGGTAAAGGAGCAGCTATACATAATAAACCATGATGCTTACTCTAACCTTCTCAAAAACGTGACGGTTAGTTTTAAAGCATTTTTTTCCTGACTGTACTAGAACAGACAGCTTCATAATATTTTCTTTTGACGACTTAAAATCCTATCAAATGAGTATTTTAAAATCAAGTATTTCAGAAGACAGAAGCCTTTAGAGGCTTAAGTTAATGTAGTTCAACTAAGCTAACATAGTATCACTAAACAAAGGAGATGACTGTTACATGCTCCTTCGAAGAGCCAGTTGAAAGCTGAAAGCTCAGACCACTCTGGAACAATGGCAAAGAGAAGAAAATTTGTATTAAACTACAGCCGTTGTTTCTAGCCTACATCTTCCCCCTTGTCACTAGGTACAATCCACACAAAGAATGTGTCTCAAAATTGCAGCACTACTGACTCCTTACATGTAGCAAGAAGATATTTCCTCAGTCTCTACCCTGGCACTTTGAGTCTCTATACAAGTTGTACCAGCGCTGGCTGGTGATATTGATTATAAAGAGCAGTAGACTAGCAGATGGTTGCGCAACCAAGCCTTAAAACATAAAAACCGCATGGTCTCATAAGGACACACAAGAAGTCTGTGAGTTCTTTTCTTCTTGCTCTCTTTTTCAAACTGTGTATCACAAGCCAACAAGGTTTGTGTGATCAATGAGCCTTTCCCTAAACCTCCGATAGCTTTTGAACTTCAAGGATAATTTTTCCACGATAATTTTCTATCCACCTATCAAATTTGACAGATGGATAGAAATCTCAGTATTAGGTTCTCCAAAGTGCACTGGAGAGAAGGAAATAAAAAAAAAAACAACCCCACAAAACCCCCACAACAACAACAACAAAAATATTACTTATTCAGAAGAAAATCTGAATTAGTTCTCTTGCTGAAGTGGGAACTTCTTGGTTCCTAGTTGTTTGGCACATGCATGTAGCTCAAAACTAGCTGTATCATAAACATCTCCTGGCCATGCAGTAATTAAAGGAATAAAGAGAGAGAAAAAAAGTTTTATGTAGTAAGGAGTACAGAGAAGATGACTGGAAGAAAGATGAAAAGTACTGTATGAAGGTATACAGAAGACTATTTCTCATTAGCTCATTGAATTAAGTTTGTGAAACTCCTCTTTCAATTACACAATTTCTCTGGCTGACAACACTTTAGAAAACCACTAAAAAAGTTTTCTATGTTTTGAAAATTTGAGATTATTTTTGAACAAGGAAGAAAGATGCAAAAATTCTTTCCAGTGTCAATGATCTTGGTATACCTGGCAGACTTCCAACATTTTTAAGAGTGGTCAACACCAACAAAGGAATTGAAAACATGCAAAGCACATCTAATTCAGCAGTGGAATTAGAAACCAAATCTAAGGTAGCAGTCTCCAAAAATCATTATATTAAAATCAACTAAACAAACAAACAAAATCAATAATGAAGCAAGCTAAGCATTCAAACTACTACTACTTTCTCTGCAGGTGCATGTATCCACATAAAAAAGACATTTTGAAAAGGAATGCACAGTGTTTTCATAGCATTTAAATAAGGTATGAGCAAAACACTCCAATGTAAGCAACTTAGCTTCTTACCTGTCTAGATTTAGCCAATGGCTTCTTCTCATTAGGCTTTTTAGGTGCATCACAAGGCTTCCTGATCCCTAAAGGCACTCCATATTTTGCAGCAGGCTTGGTAATTTTCTGAGCTGGTGCAACTGAAGTCAGTATTTGTTCTTGAGCTGGTCTTTTAGCTAAAAAGAAAAAAAAAACAAAACAAACAACCAAAACCCAAACTGTTCTCAGCTATCCAGGCTGGCCAGTGTATCATATTTCCCTTTCCCAATGTCTTGGAACAGCAAAGCTGGAGGAAAATGCGTGAACAGCTAACATTTCATTCACATGAGCTGACACATAAGTGCAGTATTCTCAGTTGTCCAAAACAGCTCATCTACATTTCATGCTTGATAAGATACAGCAGAACACAATCCCTGAGCTTTTCACTCTCAATACTTCAAACTGGAGAACTGAAGCTTGTTTCAGCTGCCATACTTTATTATCCACTTGCTATGGTCACAGGGAAAAGTGCTCCCAACGGAATGGAGAGACAGGCTTCCCTCCACTACTGACACTGGACTACAATCTGCAACACTAACATCAGCAGAAGATGAATTCTTTAAGTACTTCAATGGCCTTCAGGGCTATAGTCTTCCCTGTAGAATTCCTGAAAATATGCTGATATTGTGGATTTGATTCTGTGTTAGCAGGGCTCTTTTACTACAGAATAGCAGGACAGCAGTGAAGCACTCACACAAAACTATCAAAAGACAGCAGAGCACTTGCCACAGCTTCAAGTAATTACAAGAAAATAAAATAAAGGGAAGAAAATCCAGGAAAGAAAGGGTAAACTAATGCAGGAAAATGAAGTAAGGTAAGAATACCTTGACAAAATGAACCACTATCTAATTTGCTACCAGTAGCAGAAATTCTGCTGCTCTGAGCTGAAGTCAGGGTGTAATCCTGGGATCTCTAATGAAATCTCCCACATTTTTCACAAGAAATAGTATTTCTATTACCCATTTGTCATTAGTAAGGGAGAAAAATAAAATCATACAATAACAACATATAAATTATTTCCAGTTTTTGCAGTCTTCACTGTCTCCTTAAATTTGGAAGCATAGCATACTGCAAGAGGAAAAAGTACACCTAAAATATTACAGGACCATGGTTTGTATTACATCACGTGTACTCTACATACATCCAGCTCCCCTTTTTTTTCCTGAAACTCCTAGAATCAGCTATAAGAACAGACCAATAAAACCAATAAAAGAACAAAGCTACATACACTATCTTGCCAGAGCTGAAAGCAAAAGCACTTACTTACCTGGTGCAGCATGCGGTCCAAACTTCTGGAAGATTTTGTGATTGAATTCTTCTGCAATAAGCTAACAAAAAGTTGAACAGTTAGCCAACAAGATTTGAGTGTGAAGCTAGAAAGAACTATTTTTCAGAGAGGTGTGCCACTCCCTGTAAGCATCTAACTAATTTATGGTAACTTAAATTTAAATGAATACTCAAATTTATATACTCAACTTAGTATCACTAACATTAATATGAAGCTGGATTCAGTATTTTCAAACACTTTTGGCACAACTACTAAAATAATTTCAAAAAAGCAATTTAGTCTGACTTCTAGGTGGCACATGCCACCTCGTTTACGAACTAGCTAGGAATCCAGAGGAAAGTTAATGTAAGCGTCAACATAGTTTTATGCATAGTTCATTTTAGATTTCTGTAGAGTTGCCAAATTTTACTTCAATTTCTCAAAGAGCTTGTTTGTAAAACCCCAATCCTTTAAAAATGTTTGCAGTTTTTAAGTTTCTCTATCCTTTTCAAGATGCAAAGATGACTACATATGTGGATATCCCGGAAAAAAGTATTTGGTGTGCTGTCAGGAATACCAAATTAGCATAATAGTATGTGGAAAAGAGCCTTACTGGAGTAAAAAAATTGGAGTCTAGACAAGGAACACTCAAACATTAACAGGCCATCATCTCGAATTCTGAACCCAACTTCAAAAAATATGTAGTAGAAAGGAAAAAGGTTCAAAGAAGAGCAGCAAGGATAATTAAAAGTGTTGAAAAGCTTCAGTACAAAGAACATAAGCTTGCTCTTCAGCCTATAAAAAGATGATCGAGATGTAATGTGACAGGTCTAGAATACCCCAAGCGATTTTGTAGAGAAACACACAAGGGCAGCAAATGATAATATAGGAAGTGGGGTACAAGTGGGTACAAGGAGGAAGGTTTAAAATAAACAAAGTTGATGCTTTCTGCAACAAGTAGTAGACCTGTGAAATTTCTTACTGGTCATAAACACACAGGTTCAAGGAGAAATGAGGTAAGTTCATGGATGAGAAATCTATTGAGGACAACTAAATACCGAAGAAGATAGTTTCTGAGCTGATGCAATTGAGACAAAAAAAGATGAAGGTTGGACGAGTACTATAGGGTACTGTCATGCAGGCTTGCCATGCTCCTATACGCCTCACCAGACACTGCTTATGGCCAGTGTTGACTGCCCACAGGATATGGAGTGAGACTGACTTTTAGCTGAGCCAGCACCATGTTCTCATTTTCCAACAACCTGCTCAATCCGAGTGCCACAACTGGTGCTACCTACAGAATATTCGAAGGATGGGAACTGCAAAAGTATATTTCACAACAGAAGAGCTACTTGCAGCCAGATAACCACCATACTACAGACCACCTTTCTAGAGCATGCCAGGAATGTGTTACTTCATGTTCTGACAACGACTGACAGCAATGTTAAACTGAATAGTAGCTAAACCACAATGTTTTAAGGAATAGTCCTTGTAGAATCTTGAACTATACAGATTATTTTGATTTTCTTAGAGTCTACCAATCAGTTACAATGGATGCTGAGGAGTGAAAACAGAAAAAAACCCAAGAACCGAAGTGCAAACTCAGTACTGTGCATATGATGGCAGAGAAACTTTTCAACCTGTACAGGCTGTCACCAAAAGATTCTGTAAGCAAGAAGTCACACATGATAACGGTCTCCTGCTAATGGTGTTTCAGTGATCTTGAAGCTTTTATTTGGGTGGTAAACTGTAACAACTGAAGTGTGATTTTCCCATGATAACACAGCCACTGAGAGAAAAGAAACATGACTCCTCAGTACTTTCAAAAAGCTCCCCCCTTTTTTTTTTAGTTGATGTATTTAATCATTTAGTTGATTAGTTAGATGCACTCTTTACCGTAACTTAGTAACTATGAAAATTAAGGAATTTATACAAAACTGATTTACTGTCATTTAAGAGCAGGATTTCAGCAACAGTTGCAACATGTTGAAGATGTCAGCTATAGAAGTTCTCTTGAGGTCAGACTAAAGAAAGCAGGGGACAACAGCATTAGCCATGGTTCAAAACAAAAGAAAACAGGTGTTCCAGCTGTGTCACAGAATGACCACCTCTGGCTGACCATGAACATACCAGTGATTGATACATTTTGCAAAACGTCCTTCCTGGGTGTGGAGGTTTTTTGTTTCTTTTAAGATTAAGTAGCATCTCTAAATCAAACATGTTAGTGATTCAGTCAGAAAAATTGTGTGCAAGTATTCATACTCAATCTAGGAGAAATTAGTATTATCATCTGGCCGTAGTCTCTTAGTAATTATACTATTCCTGACTAACTCCAAATAAAAATTTCATATCCATTCTAGCTACTGGAAATAAAACCAGATCAAACTACTACTGTTGTAAAAGTTAGAACAAACTTACCTGTAAAGACTTCTGAATCTTACCTTTCATTAGGACTTCAATCTGAACTATTATTAGTTGAACGTCTCTTTCATATACAATCGAAATTTCAATTATATATAGCCTTCTCATAAAATTTCTTTAGTTACAGATTAGAACCCATTAGAATTCTTTATACTTAGTGAGGTCTCCTTTTGCATTCAATTCCTCCCTGTCCTTTCTTTGTCTACAGTTATTTACCTCATATCAGTACTATTATTCTCTTGTTAATCTTGATCTCTTTTGATCAGATTTATATTAAAAGGACATGAATAGATGTCAAATGATATCAAAAGATTCTAAACAGAGTAGTGAGCAACTTCTTCAAGGTTATATACACGTGATACACTTAATTGATATTCATTGACAGCACCATTTATGAAAAAATGTGTATCTAAACAAATCAACACCTCACTCATAATTCCTAACTATACAGAAAACCGCACAAAACAATGCACTTAAGAAAATGCCAATTTAAACTTATCTGTGGAAACTACCAAATTCTTCAAATTCAGTAATTTCGGATTTTTCTTTACAGTTCATAGTAAAACTCTTTTTTTTCCTCAACTGAAAGTGTCCCTATGAAAGCTTGTCCCTATGAAAGCTCTAGGGAATACCATTGCTCAAATTTCTCCTGTTGTATATTAACATTAGAATAAAGAAAAAGAACAGTCCTATGATGTTTTTAGCAAAATTAGTATTAAAACTAACTCCATACCTGTGGTGTGAGAAATTTTTCAACCCGTTTGGCTATAAAGTTTTTCTCCAATATGGAGTTTACTGATGGTCTATTCCTAGGATTCCTTTTAAATAACTGTGTCAGCAGGTTACGTAGGTCATAGGAGTAATGCATAGAAATGGGAGGAAAAGGTCCAGAGATTATCTTCAGTACCAAGTTCTTCATGTTACCAGCTTCAAACTGTATCATGCAAGAAAGAAAACAGTTACTACGTATTACTTACAGCCTGTCCATATGCACAGCTGCATATAAAGATGAAAAGGAAAACAAAAAAAACCAACACATCTTCCCTTGCCTCAACATACCAAAACCAATTTTCAAGGCCATCAACAGTTTACATCAGCAGTTTAAAATAATCTGCTGCCAAGCACTTGGATTATAAATACATCATAATACAGATATTTCATACTATAGAGATATAATTTTGCTAATAATTATTTCCTTCCAGATCTAGACTGATGGTATATAATTAAGGATAAAATAATTACATCACTATCTGCTTGATCTACTCTCCCAAACACTTTGAAGCACACATGCCTTCCACCCTTTTTAGTGAAGACAAATTTCAAATAAAAGAACGTGAAGCATTCACACTCATTCAGTGTAAAACTAAAAGGAATGCTTAGGCTTCAGCTTAGCTCAGGAAACAGAGCACACCATTTCAATTCCTTTGTACAATAAAAAGAAAACAGTACATATCACCCACCTCACAGAAAACAACCTATTGCCATCAACTCTCAGAAAGGCAACATTGTCAGCAGAAAAAATGAAGTAATAAGAAATTACAAAAGCCTGAGATGAAAGTAAATCCTTATTCCTTGAATTTTTTTCCCAATTTTCATGTTGTTATAACCTTTTTTCTTTTAGTAAAAATAGCTATTAAAAAAAAAACCCAACAAACAAGACAGAAGAAAATGTATTTTCTTCTTTTCTTACTGAAAAATGGATGATACAGATGTATTCTTCAAAACAACACACACACACACAAAAAAAGAAGAAGAAAGGGGGGGGGGGGGGGGGAAGGCACCCTGGGAGTTTTTTCTAAGAACTATTCCTGTTCTAAACAGCAATGTATTAATCCATCTGAACAAAAGCTGACGACAAAAATGTCAAGTTTTTTGAAAGAAAGGAATACTATTCACAGTATTGTTTGTTACAACACCTAACAAGTTTTTCAGCTAACACAGTTCATTAAAAACCTACACTGAAAACAAAACACACTGTGCTAAGATTTCTGGAGAGTGGCATGAACCAAAACACAGATGGAAAATGTTGGTCAGTATAGGAAGAGGAGATGAGAATATTGAAGGTAATTCTAAACAGTCACCATGAAAGCCTTTCAGCAACTGAAATACATCTGTGTACCACCAGGAAAAATTCCTGTTTGAAATCTCTATTCTTTTAAAGACACAAGAAATTTCTACTCACCGCATGTTTAAGTGTGCACATTTCATAGAGAACACAACCAAGGGCCCAGATATCACTAAATCAAAGAGAACATATCTTAAAAGTTAGCTCTTGGTGTAACATTGCAAAGTAACTTGTATCTGTGAAATCTTTGAAAAGTAAAAGGTTGTATTTCAAGTATGTACAAGCTCCCTTGTATGTCCATCTCCCCCGCCCCCAAAACCCTGAACAAAAAAAAGATTCAACAACCAAAACCAAGGCCAATCTGAAAAACAGATGAGGTTATTTGGGCTCCAAATTTTATTTAGACTTTTTCATCTGAACCACTCCAATCACAGAAATTAGACAAAATATGGACAGAGGCGCTTTTTTTCTTTAAACATATACATTTGCCTGAGGTCTTTGAATTAAACAAACAACAAACCAAACAAAACTCACCACCCAATTCAGCAAATACAATTCTCAAAGTCAATTTACTCTGTTTAACGTGGATCTACCTTACCCTCACTCATTACAGGATTACAGAATTTGGTTAGAATACTATGGGATAATAAAACCCATGTAGAAGAAACTAAGGGACACATAATTGTAGTAATTTTTATCTTTAAAAAAACCAATTGAAATTAGTGTAAGGCACTCACAGCAACGGGTACAGCAGCTTGTATAGTATATAGTATAAGACTAACTTGATAATGACCATTTTAATTAGATTAGGGATGCTGTTACCAGATAACAGCCTACTGCCAGGAGAGCAAACATATAAGCGAAGTATCTGTATGACTTTGCTATCTGAAGCAAGCTGAGCCATCTATCTATGCATGTGCTTAGAGAATCCAATTATTGTCTTGTGATTTCATCCTTAATGCAATTTCACATTTGTATTGCACAAACTAAGGCAGTACAACTAGTGGGCAGATAGGCAAAAGGAGAGCCATAATTAAGAATACGGCCAGATCTCGAACTCAGAGCATTAAGTTAAGTCATCTCTGCATCACGTTGCTTTGTACTGCACAGACCTACTAAGGCCTCACTTGTACAAGGAGACTCGGTACCTTCTTGGGTAGGAGATGAACTAACAGCAGTTCACAGTCATGTGAACAGAAGAGCTTTAGATATCTAAAAGAACTCACTTTCTTCTCCTTACCAAAAATTTTTCATAAAATGCTAAAGGTACTAACCTTTTATTGTTGTAAGGTTTGTTCTGACATATTTCAGGTGACAAATAGTATGGCGTTCCTATGCAAGTGCGAGCCAACTCTGCAGTACTAAGGAAAAAATAAAGAGTGAATCTTAACTAGTTAACCTCACATGAAGTACACAGATTGCGTTTTCCTAGATCAAAGCAGTTTAGATTAAGTCAGAGAAAACAGCATCAAATAGGAGTTACCTGTTAAGAACTCTGGCGATCCCAAAATCTCCCAGCTGTATTGTTCCATCTTTGGTTAAAAATATATTCTTGATATAGAAATTTTAAGAAGTCTGTTAATTAAAACATTCATACAATTGCACACTTTTTGTTCTCAATATGTTTTGGGAAGAATAAAGTTTTCTACCATTCAATCACTTTGAAGTCACTATCAGTAGTGTTATTGACCACTTATGCTAGTCTTCCTTCATCAAAATTAAAGAAAACACTACTACACATTCTAAAACATAACCTTTTCTGTCCCCACACATAAACATATGAGTAATACTCCAGTAGCTTCAAGCCTCATCTGTTTGTACAAATATCATATAAACCTCTTCCAGACAATTCCGAAGAAAAAAGTCTTTCCAGTATTAAAGTGTTTATGTAAAAAGACTATTTTCCATAATTTGCCAACTTATACTAGCAAAATGTGAATGCAATCACTTTGGAAGTAAATTCAGCTAAAAAATAGTTACCTACATACCTGTGACTTTATGTCCCGATGCAAGATTTTTCTATCATGTACATGTTTTAGTGCTAAACAGATTTGTACAAACCAATCCAGAATCTATGTATAAAAAAAATGCAACATCAGCATCATTATTTATTTGGAAGCTTCCCCAGTTACATATTTGAAGATATTATCAAATCAGTTTTGTAAGTCAAGATTTTACCCTGTTCCCTCAAACCTGTCTTCATTTATACCACAGATTAAAACCATAACAGTACTGTCACTATAATGCACACTTTTTCATGAAAGATGCCTATTACCCAAATTAGATATTAAGCCTGAGACTACTGGTTTCATTACGTATGAGCCTAACAAAAGTATGCAATATGAATTTTTGATTGGCTAAAATGTTTAAGACATGGAGCTTCCATCTTAAAGATTGTACTTGCGCTGTAACCAATAGATGTCTTCTTGCAGTAATCAACCAAGAGTCCTAGAAAGCCATCCTGATGTTTACAGAAACACTTATTTTATCATACAGTAATTTTAGGTATTCAATGAGAAAAGATTTCAATGAGAAAAGCAACAAACAACATATACCTAGAAGATTATAAGCAAGCCAACAACCCCCCTCTTTTTTGGTAAATTTGTAAAAACCACAGTATAAAAAGTGACTAACAGCAAGAACTTTTCCATGTGATTAGCAGTTTCACATTCTCAACTTAGAAGTACATACATGTCAAAACTACAGTATAATGCAAGGTGTAATTTTCACTTTTCCACTTTAAGTTCTTCTTGTAAAAGTGAGCCCAAGTTAGAAAAATGAAAAGTTTCATAAATTATAACCAAAATGTTTCACGATTACCCGATTCTAAATACCATCAATAGACCCTAACGTACTACTAAGTCTTTCCAACCTTGAGATCCTACTGGGTGCAGACACAAAACCATAGAAACAATTTATAAACAAGGAAACATATGTTAGTTCTAACCAAAACACTGAATCCTACATAATCTCTTTTCACTTCATTTAATGAAATCTGTACATAAAATCCTCTCATTTATTCCAAAGCCTCACATAGCACAAATGACTTTATAACCAGTATCCCGGAAAAAGAAATCTGATGGTATACTCCCAATACAATATTAAATTTTTTTCTAATGGAAAAATAAACTTTTGAATTATGTCAACTTCATATGGCCTTATTTCATATTATTATACTTTAGAAGTATGTTATTTTATAGTTCTGAAATGAAAATCAGTATTACAACACAAAAATCCTGTGCCATTTTACCTTTAAAAAATAAAATAATTTCAAATGTTTAAAAATACTCATGTTGTCCTTCAGTATTTTTCATTTCTCAGATTCGCTTTACTTTGCAAAAGACCCAACTTTTTTTAAAGCATCTTACATGTACAGACAAAACATATCTAGGATTTCCAGTTAGACTTTCTTTTTTTTTTTAAGATACTATTGCATTGTGACTGGCAACAGGAATCACAATTTGAGATCCTCCTTTTAGATTAAGCAACCATATCTACCACACTGAACTAAAATAATTTGAAACTCATGAAAAAGTATCATGCAACAAAACACTATAGCAACAGTTTGCTGTTACCTGATCTTCAGAGAATAAGATTCCCTTCTGGGCATTTATTTTTTTAAATAGGTCTCCACCTTCACAGTAATCCATCACTATGTAGAGACAGCCATTTTCTGTAAAATAAAACACAAACTATTTTTAAATAGAAAAAAAAAACCCACCTCATCTTTAACGTAACTTTCCAAATATCTTCACTGCAGCCACAGAAAAAGCAACAAAAAAGCAACCTTTTCACATGCAGCTTCACATACCATTTATCAGTCCTTTTTTCAAACTTAAAGCAAAAATGCTTTTATTATTTTGAGTTTCACAACAGAAATTTCCCATAGCTGCTAACATCAGACTGTTCTGATACGGAGAAAAAAAAATGACATCTGCTG